TTATATTTGGATCCAGGAGCATAGCAAAGGTTGTGAGTCAGGTCCACGCCTTCCAGGAGGCAATGTACTCCTACAGCCCGGACCAGGAGCTGCAGGCCTACCTTCGGCGCCGCATCGCCTGGTTCGCCACCTCTGACATCCGCCTCTTGGCCACCGACAAAGATACCAACCTCCAGCAATCCAGCGAGCGACAGACACGGAGAATCCAGGACACGCTGAAGCGGGTCAAGGCCACCTTCCAGTGAGTCCTGGCCCGGTCAAATGTGTTAGTCCTGAGTGAGTGAGTCACCACCAACAGGTCGACAACCATGTCCAAGCCCAGACTGAGGACCCATGTCCCTTGACACAACCCTCAGATGCCTCTGTTGTCCTGTCACCACAGCCTTTTAGCCTGGAAACCCCTGGCCTCTCAACCTTTACTTCACACTGGTCCTGCTTGTTGGCCACAGATCTCAGTAGCACTCTGCCAAAAAGACAAACGTCATGGGTGAAGTTTGTAATCTGAAATACTTCGTCCTCTGTTCATAATGTATAATGAAGTTTTTTTTTTAATCTTTATTTGTGAACTGTTCTTGTAATTTAGATGTTGAGTCCCACACATAATCATAACATGGCAGCAGCAATGCAAAATCAAGTCCAACATCAAGGCTGGATCATTAACATGAATATGATCACTTAAATCTTCGTTTAGGAATATGCACTATTGAAATACAACATTAGCTGATATAATCATGTCTCAAAGTTTGAACTCTTCTTTTTTCAGTCAGTCAACCATATTTGTTCTTCACTGAAATATCTCAACAACTACTGAATACATTTCCATGGAATTCTGGAGGCCAAGTGGAAAACCATGTCTGAGCTGCTTCGCTGTGGTCCTGTATTTTTTATTTCCTCATTCATTTAAAAAAAAAATTTGAAGGCCTTTTTAAGTTTGTACTGCACTGTGTTCGATTGTGATCAATGTCAAACTGAGTGTCTACAGTTTTACTGCTTTTAAAGTAGTAGTACTAAAGTAATAGAGGGATGAGACACAATCATCATTAAGACAATGCTGCACACGCTCAGTCTGTGTCAGGAGAGCATTCATATGTGATTTTGCGCTTTGTTGCACACAATATTATGACCTAAGCCATTTTCCACCCAAAGTACCCAGAACATTTACCCCCAGGAATCTTTCGCCCAGGAACTAAAATGTCTCTTCAGCTCATTGTTATCTGCGTTTCCACTGCGGTCTAAAGACCCTGGAAGATGAGGAGAATTAGTCCTCTGATGTGTGAAACAAGCCCGCAGTTATCATACGTCATTTTTTTGTGCGACTATACAACATACCGTTTCCTCCAGTTCAGAAGGTGGCGGTATAGAATGTACAACAATGCTGACACCTTATTTAGTAGATATGCAGAGCAGACATCAGCTCGCTCAACTTGCAGGAGATCTCAGCAAACACCTTATTGGCTTTGTGTCACTGATTCAAGTTCACACTGGAAATCGTCCTCAGGAAAAATGCAAAACTAAGTGCGTATTCCTGAATTAGATTATATTCATTAAACTCACCACTCAATAAACCAGGAAAGGAAATACTGAACACAATCCACAAAAAACAGGAAGAAATGGAGCCCAGCGAAGCATTTTTGCCTGGGATCCCTTGGCAGGTAAATCCAGCCTTGTCAAACAAAAACATAAAATCAATTTAAAGTTGCTGAGTTATATTTAACTTGCAGGAAACAAGACAACATGAATACAGAATGTTTTAATTTACTGATAATTGATTTTGTCAAATCTACAGGTAGATCTGTTTGTTTACCAATTAAGAGTTTACCAAATGAGATTTATGTGACTAGACTAATTAATATCTCATATTAATTCAATTTAAACAGCACAGTGTGAAATAATTGCAATTTATTAAGAATAGTGTGTCGTGAAGGCTGAAAACTAAACAAGCTTGCTGTCGTGACAATACCTTACCATCACTGACATACTGATAGGACATAATGAGATGTCAGTGTGCAAAATGTTATTTGATGAATGATTTTCAGCCTGTGTCTATTTTTCTATTTTCCTGCCCGCTCCCTCTCCTCTATGGCTCTCTGCCCTGAATCCCACCGTGGAGATGGAATGTGACGTGCTATGAAGATTTGCTTAATTTAGCCAAATAAACAAGATTTTATAAGCTCCCTCTTGCCAGAGCGTGTTATTGTCAGATAATATCCGTGATGGAATGGCTGCATGGCAGGTTACAGCCCTGTTAGATCTGTCAGGGAATGTGGGTCGTGGTGGGAGAGCTGAAGATTGGGTTTCTCTCCTCCTATTGGGATTCACACCGAATAGTAATGACATCAGTTCTCCCTGATATTTCTTCCTCTTGAATATCTTGCTGTTGTATTAAGGCAACATCGTATTTTAAACCTGTCACAAGGACAGGTCATTACTTTGTCAGGACATTTGGACACATGCTTATAAGTATATCCAGGCATATCTAGCCCTTGTTTTTTTGTTGTTTGGGTCCCGTGGGTTCCAATGCTGTATGTGTTCAAATAACATAACTTTTTTTAAACAGAAAAGTATTAATGTGGTAACACTTACCTCAAACTGCAGAACTAACGAAGGTGACTAATCATCACCACAAAGCATTGTTATTATACTTACCCTTTATATACAGTATTGCTTTTTTATGTTATGACAGCTGTTAGGGAATATATGCCAAATACTTTTATGTGAAGAATATTTGCAAGTATATTTTCTTACTGACAATATTTGTATTTGTCATACCTGGTGACATCATTGATGTCTGGTTTCAATCAAGACTGTTTGACAAACAGACAAAACTCAAATGAAATCAAATATGATCACAGATATGGAGCTTATACGCCCCATTGTATTGACCCTTGTCAGATCGCAGTTTATTAACACCTCTCAGAGGTATAGAAAGGGTTATGAAGTAAAACCATTGTTATTATGTTTCAGTGTCCCAGTATAAAATTTGAATACAGAGACTGTGGCCTCTCCTCCGGGACAGACGGACAGACAGAGCCCGGGCAGAGATGAGGAAATCGGCGCAGTGTGAAGGCGACGTCCCGGGCTCTTTTTATTGTTATCTAACGGGATCAGGGCGCATCTTCAAAGCTTCACAGATAAAGAGCCCTGAAGGGCTGATGGGGCTGCTGCCTTCACAGCGACAGATCACCGATAAAGGGGACAAGTAGGCCCGGCCTCTTATCTGCATTGTCATATAACTAAACGATCAGTTTAGTGGCATTGTCCTGGAGCTGCTGCATGCTGAGAGCTCAGGGGAGGGGCGCACAGGTTAGGCGCGGTCTCATGGAAAGTGATCTCTCGGTTTATTTGGTGCATGATATGAAACTGACAGTCGTCGTGTAAACTGTTTACAGGAGAAGGTTGGATTTTAAATCCTGCTATATTTTTGTGCCACATGTGTTAGGCTGCGCCACAGGGAGAGTTCATTTCGCTTCATAAATGGCACAAAACCTGCGTTTTTACGCACAAGCGGTTTACTTATTATAGTCTTCTTTCCGTTTGTTCACTCTGTAATGTCTGTGGTCGACTTATTATTTACACCTCTATCATGCCAGTTTACAGAATCCTTAGGATGATGATAAATATGCTCTCTAATATGCTCTCTGTTTGTAAGTGGAGCCGCCATTGCCTGAGTCACTTGAGGACCTGTTTGCGCTCCCAGGGTTTTGCCCCAGCTTCCTCGCAGCTTGTTTTAACATATTTACATGTGAACGGGCAGACAATCAGCTGTAATTGTGTTGCTACTGTAATACCTTTGATCTGGAATGTTTGAAGCGCCTGTGCCAAATGCTGGCTCTCGGGTAGCCGGCGCCAGCGCGCACCGGGGTATCAAAGACATGTCAATACGAAAGTACCCACTGCCCCCCTCCCCACCCAACCCATTTGAGAACTGTGAGGTAAACCCTTCACTAAAGCCAAATTTGTTGTGAGGCCACAATGTTTCGTAAATGGCACTAAACTTGGGGTTTTACGCACACAAGCAGTTTCCTTATTACGGCCCCCTCTCTGTTTGTTCACTGTGAAATGTCTCTAATCGATCCATTGTTGACATCGTGACAGTTTATTAAATCTGGATCGCAATGAATCAACCGTAACCACAATCCATATGACAGCTCATTAGTTTTAGGAGCCAACACAAGACGGATTTTTAGTTCGGTCACCATTGATCATTTTCACGAAACTACAAACCATGTCAGTGTAAAATACCCAACTATAAGTTCAGGATTCTACTTTTATTTAAGTAAAGGAGTTAAGGAATCAAAATCATGAAACTGAAAGTATCCTACCTACAATACAGAATAGCACATTGGTATTGTCACTGGATTATGATGCGTTCACAACGCTTACGAAGCTGTGAATGTGATTTCTACTGATTTATATATACTGTTGATTTGAAGCATAATCACATCCACTGTCAGTGTGATTAAAACATTACATTATACACTTAGTTATCTTTTACCACAGAGTACCTCAAATGTGATGAATAGATGTTTTCCCTACAAGTGTAGGAATAACTAAAACAAATTTAACAGAACAGAAGGTGTGCATGTGAAGGACAGACAAATGACTGTTTTTTTAATTTCTCCATTCATTGTGGATCCCTGTGCCTCACTGATTTACGAGCAAACGTTTCTCCAAATGTCCCTGACCTCAGAGTGATAAATCATATGAGAAAGGGGCCAAATATGCCACGAGTGATACGGTGAGCAGAGAAAGTATTTAAGGACAAATATTTCCTCAGGATCCAGACGGATCACAGCACTGCAAAGCATCAACTCTCTTAATCACACAATAATTTCATCTAATTACAACATGCGAAAGATTGTCTGAAATATTAGATACATCTGGTCCCCCGGACTGTTTTCCTGTGTATGTAGCAGCATGTGAGTACTCGCTTATGCAGCTGCATACAGCTGTTTCTGCAGGCCCCCCTCAGTTTCAGTCAAGGCGGACAAATGTATGAGCTCAGGACTCTCACAGACTCGCCGGCGCCAGGACTTCACACACTCACAGGATATGTAAAGACTTCAATAACGAGCCATTAACCTCTAATCATCGGGATCGATCGGGCGTTAACAAGGGCCCCCCACACATGCAAATGACGGTGAGCGCAGGGCCCCTATAAACGCCGGCCGTGGACAGGAGCTGCTGACACACACTCCCTCTGACATTAACTGGATTCACAGGTCGCTGAGCAGCACTGGCAACATGGTCAAATACTTTTCCGTGGACTGGCTGGCCCAGAGCCACCGCAGCACAGCGCCCACTGAGGAGCACGGAGCTGGCGTGGATCCCACACTGACCTGCAGACCCCACATGCCCTGCGTGGTGCAGCCGCGTCCTCCGTCTTTTGGCAGAGGTTACCTACAGCCGAAACCCAAACCATCCAAACCCGTGGAACATATGGAGCCAGTGGATATCAACAGGCCTCTGAGCTCACCTGAACATTCAATAAACTGCGCCTCACCAAGTAAGTAGCACCAGACTGTTCAAGTCAAACCCGGTGATTCATTCACTCATCCATGGCGCACAAGCAGTGTTTGTAACCACACTTTTCCTTTCTTCTTCCAGTTTCAGAAATCAGCAGCTACTCCTCCGGGTATGAGAGCGAGGCAGCTTCCTCCGAGTGTCCCTCTGTGGATGAGGGGAGCGAGGTGGAGAAAGACGGACCTCAGCGCCGGATGCGCACAAAGTTCACCCAGGAGCAGATCAGCAAACTGGAAAAGATCTTCAACAAGCACAAGTACCTGGACGCTGGAGAGAGAGTGAAAACTGCGCGGAAGCTGAACCTCACAGAAACTCAGGTGAGACGCGATTTCCCATGCAAACAAACATGTGTAGATCGTGCGTAAACGTTTAATATCAGAGCCTTGTACTGCGCATTGATTTGGGTGCTAACTTTATTTTGTTCTCTCCAGGTGAGGACGTGGTTTCAGAACAGGAGGATGAAGTTGAAGCGTGAGGTGCAGGACTACCTCTCCCCCCAAGTGTCACCGGTGATGTTCCAGCCGCTGCCCCCGGCTCAGTACCACAGTGTGGCCGGACAGCATCCCCACTTCCCCCCTGCAGGCCCGGCTTTCTACCCGGTCCCCGTCCCGCAGATGATCCTCCAGCAGCCCATGCACCAACACCTCCCTCCTCATCATCACCGCATGATCCACAATCCCCATTTCTACTGACGAACTGAAAACTACTGAGACTTTTCCCACCTGAAACACTTAGAATCAAAGAGAGTGCAATCCAGAGTTGTTTTATTTGACGTGTGTGTGTTTATTATATTTGATATAGAAATTATATGATTCACAGAAAATTATTTATCTCTAAATAAAGTCTATCTTCTATACTGCAGCATTGGACACTGTATTTCTTTCGCATTATTAAAGCTATTAGCGCTTAAAGATATCAGCTGATCTGTAGGATTAGCTCGACATGAATGGATCATCCTGTCTGGTCTTCAGAAGGGAGGAGAAGAATGATCTGATAAAGATGGCAGCTGTCCATTTAAACCAAAGGCTGTTATCGCAGCTCATTGTGTGGATCTCCTGATTTGATCCTCTCATATCTAGAAGATGCGAAGTTAAAACCAAATCAAACGAAGCAATATCAACAAGTCAAATGCAATCACCAATGATAGTGAATGTATAGGCAGTGGATTACTCAGATAAAGCACTTTATTTTTTTCAGAATTAATCAAGATAGACAGTATCACAGACACTGTGGTGGGTGTTTTCCTTCACCTGTCAACAAAGACTATGCCCAGATGCTCTTGCTTTCATGGGCCTTGTTTGTCCTCACCTCTGCACTTCAAACGCACAGTTAACGGGGAGATCATGGTCCAACAATTAGTCCTAATTAAGCAGCTCATTGATGAGTTTACACTGATCCACAGGAGTCCTGCCGGTCCTGGCTCCAGAGAGTCTGGGGTTTTGTGTGGCCACCGACTCTGATCTCTGCAGGTTTTTTGAAGTGGCTGTGGCCTCAGGTTGGAATCTGCAGGATTATGTGAGGAGATTTGTCGATAGCAGACTGGATTCATGACAACTTTAAGATAAGCAGAAAAGGCTCCGAAGTAGAGATGCTAAAGGATTGTGTTAAATAGAAGTTATATGTTATTTTAATTATTATAATTAACAAGCAACATAAAACAACTAATATGGTTCGCTTTACATTATTTATATTTTGTATTAGGTTTGGGTGACAGCAATGCAGCCTGAAGTATGGCTTGTAGGCACCCATGGCGCCCTTCAGCAAATGTCTCATTCAAATAAGCCATTGAAGATCAAAAGGAACTTTCTCACTCTCGGTGACTTACACGGTCACACCCACACTGTCCCACCGTAACAAAGACCTCAACACCGGGCTGCCTGGTGCGCAGACAGCTGGACGCTTCTGTCTGCGTCTCCAGAGGTTAATCTGACAGCCTGGAAACATCTCCACCTTAACAACAGGAGCCAGGATCTCACAATACCTGAGACCTTTTGGAGATATTTGGTTTAAGACATGGATTTCTTATGTCTTAAATGCCTTTATTGTTGTTGTCATTATTATTGTTACTATTAAATTAACTGGTGCTGCTATCGTTTATTTTTATCCCCACCCACTGTGCAATAACTATTTATTAGTCATATACTGTGCAATAACCATATACTGGGCATTACTGTGCAATAATCACACACAGTGCAATAACCATATACTATACATACCTTGCAATACTCATCCATCCACTGTGCAATATATTTATTACTCACACTGTGCCATAATCACTGCTGTGCAATACTCATTCGTGTGCAATACCCACCCATCCACTGCAATACAGCTACTTGAATAAAGTTACATGTATATTTGTAAATGTTGTTATTTTCCACTATTTCAAATTTAACTTTTTCGTATTTTTGTACTCATATGTTTGCACTGTGAAGCAGTAGCACTATAATTTCATTGTACACCCTGTTCAACGACAATATAGGCATTCGTATTCTTATTATAACATATCTACATCTATAAATAATCGTCGTATTCTATCTATCATGACAATCAGCGTAACAGAGCGTAAATATGACGGTTACCAAACTCCACCGGTTGGTTTGAGGTGGACCGTTGTGTGAACTGTTTCTCTATAATTTAGTAAGGTCTCGACCTTACAATGTAAAGTGCCTTGAGATAATGCATGTTAGGACCACACAGATAAAGTTGATTGGCACTTTTAATTGAATTCTGATTTAGACAACGTCATTATTAATTTGTTTATCGTGGTGGCACAGTGGGATCTGGAGCCTACGACATTACCAGTTCTTTAGCCGGGCTGCATGTCTGATAATACAGTCGACCCTCTTGTATTCAGTGGCGGATGTGGCCCTGGATCACTTTATGCAGAGATCTTTAAGTCTGGGAGATGCCAGGTATCTGATACTCAGACTTACTGGCGCCGCGGCATCCCAGCCAGCCATGGACGTGAGAAAACCCACAACCCCAACCTCTATTAACTTCAATTACAGCCACCATCAAGTTTCTATCGTTCCGCTGAGAATCCTTTGCATATGCAAATAAAGAAGTGTGGCCCTCCTATATAGCGACACCCAGGGGACAGCAACCGCTGACCCTGAACAAACCCTGAGATCAGCGCTTGGATGCAACATGGCAAACTTCTCGGTGGAGTGGCTTTCCAGAAGTTTTTACGAGGACAGAGATCTGCATGTGAAGTGCGCTGCACTTCATTCACAGCCCCGCACGGAAACAGAGGAATTTACAAAGGGATCGAGAAGCCAGTTTTCTCCAACCTCACCAAACAGTAAGTTCACTTTAAAATGAACTGACATCAGGAGTAACTCCATTCCTTTTCTTGGTGCAGGTAACGATCCTCACAAAATGCATTTAACGCTCTGCGCTCCCTTCCAGATAGTTGTGGCTACACCTCGGGCTCTGAGAGCGAGGTGGCGGATGACAGCGAGGAGGAAACCAGCCAGCAGAGACGGATGAGGACCAAGTTCACCTCCGAGCAAATCAGCAAACTGGAGGAGGCTTTCAGCAAGCACAAATACCTGGGTGCTACACAGAGGAGAAAGTTTGCTGAGAAGCTCAACCTCTCCGAAACTCAGGTGGGTTTTAGGTGTTGGTTATAGTGGGTCCCGGGGGCCTCCGGAGACATAAAGAGGCCCAAAACAATAACAGCAAAACGAACGATAGCTAATATGCACAATGGGTTTTGTATTCTTTACAATATTTAAAAGCCCTGTACAGCAGATACAAATTCCCCTGTGTGCTTTTAAACCCAGTAAAACAATTATGATTCACTGAGATCATTAGTTGATGTTTGTGTTTGTGTTTTCCAGGTGAAAACGTGGTTCCAGAACAGGAGGATGAAGTTGAAACGGGAAGTTCAGGACGTGCGCCCCGCGTTTCTCTCGGTCCCCGCGGCTCTGCTGCCTCCTCTGCTGTTTCAGCACCACGCTCTGCGCGGACAGCTCCCCGCTGCCACAGCCGGTTTCTATCCCCATCTGCACCCTGCGGTCCTGCCCCTACACTACTACTGAACACACACACACACACACACACACACACACACACTCTCTCTCTCACACACACACACACACACACACACACACACACACACACACACACACACGAACACACGAACACACACACATACCCTTACCCCGAAAACAAGAAAAAGTGTATACCAGCCAAAATGTCCTCACAATGTAAAGGATATTCTAAAATGGTCCTCTCGAATATACAAGTACACACACACACATACACACATTTATAATTCCTGTCTAGAATCTAGATATTTCTCCATTGCTCTCTCAAAGAGGGGTTGTGAATATGATCGCTTTAACATGTTTGAAGCACTGCAGCTATATTGTTGTAATTTGTACGTATTGTATATGTGTTACTAAAAGAAAGTAAATGTATTTGTTGCAAATTTTATGTTTTATGTCACAAATAAAGCCAAACTAAAGAGTATAAACTGCCTTTGTAGTTTTTCTTTCTGTCCAAACTGTTTAGAATGTTTTTCCATTTATCTCAAATGCATAACCTACTTAAACAACCATTGAATCTACAACTACAACATTCATATGTTTTCTCACGATAATAATTCAAGGGCAGAATCTTTCCACAATCATATATACAATCAATGTCAGTGAAATCACATGAGTAACTCAGAACTCTTATGTGAGGTCAGAGAGCTTTTACTGACTCAGCAGATCCAGTGTGCTGCCATCTGTTTGCAACACTGATGTTAACTGAAACAAAGGAAACAAATGTTGCAGTCTGCTGTTCCTCTTTTCACCACATTGTGACAATGTTGTGTTTTATTCTCTGCCGCTCCCTCCTTCTCTTTGAAGAACCTTCATAGTGTTAGCAGATAATTACAGAGAAAGGAGTGACCAGATTTCCCCATAACAGTTTGTTTGTCAGTCCCCGGCTGCTCAACACAGACGGTGACAGGATTATTGCAAATGATTAAACATTGGGATCAAAGAGCCCCCACCCTCAAGATAGTCATAAATGTAATAATCAAATATAAAGTTGAAATATCGCAGTAAAGTTTCTTCTCCAAGCTGAGAGAGAAAGGTTGGTGATTTATGTCCTCTCATCCTCTTTTCCTTTCTGTATTAGTTTAAAGTTTTTAATCCAATTAAGTTTTTTGCTGTGTTCTTATGGAAACTTGATTTTTGTGCTTTTGTAAGCTACAGATAAATTCATTCGTTTTTATTCTTCTTCTGTTTATAGGACTTTTCAGTGTTATTTCCTACAGTTGCTCCAGTGATAATGAGATTATGGCAGAAGGAAGCAGGGAGATAAAGAAGATGGGCTATTTTTATTGCGATTATCTTCTTATGCACACCTCAACATATCACAATCAAGTTTGATGGATAAAAAGCGAAGTGAAACAGATTTGAGTGGATGAGGTCTGTCATACATGAAGCATGAAGAGGAGAAAACGTCACATGTCATGAAACTAGAACCTTCGGCACAATGATACATGAAACTAATTGAACTGTTTAATTTCCTTCATATTTTCCAAATTGGTTTCCATCTCTGAGCTTTTACTGGTGTTAGTTTATTTACCTCATCTTATTCTGCAGTGGTTAAATGGCAGCAAGTGGACAAACTAACAGCTAATGTTCACAGAGCAGCGCAGAGCAGCAGTGGGTAACTTTGTTTACATGGTCTTCAACTGATTTTCAGGAAAGTTTGTCGAAATATGCACAGAATTTGGTTGGAAAGACTTATGTGCTCAGAATCATTTGACTTATTTCCTATTATTTTTGGTGAGACAATGGCAGATTGAATCAGTTTTCATTTCCGCAGCTCTTTCTTATTATGTATCTGTAATATTTTTAAGCCATTTATCCAAAATGCAACTTTTCAGCCCTTTACAGCCAGAAATGCTGATTTCATAAATTGTGAGGATTAAGGATTATGCCTTAATAATAATAATAATTCCATCAGCATCATGTTTATAATGTCAACTATAATTATACAAACCATATGACAATGCTAACAGACTAGATAACACTCATTGAATCGATTGCTGCTGCTTCTGTCAGACCAAAACAGTTGCAAATACTAAAACTGATCATTATTGAGTTAGATGTAAAGTAGATGTGCACATGATCCAGCACTGATAATATTTCATACTCCAGGTGGTGCCAGGCAGTTGGAGGCCCCTGAATAAAATTCTGCTTAGGGCCCCCTCAAAAAAATATAGACTGTAGGTATGTTCTAAACTCCCCTGTTCCACCAAAACAACCAGTGTTGTGTTGTAAATATGCAGACGTACTGATGCATGTCTTTATTTCCTCACATGCTCAGGTAAGAAACCTGTTTCTTTGTGCATTCCTTTTGAAAAAGCCCAAGATCCTGAGATCTCCTAACTCCACCCATTCATTCATGTCTTCATCCAATCACAACCTGAGACCCCCGCCGGTTTCCAATCACTCGCGAGCTGTCAAATAAAAAAATCAGTCATTTCAGCTAGCCAAGTTTCGTGACTTGTCTCCACCACTACATGCGTGGACACCTGGAATCTCCATCAAACCCTCTGATCAGATGTCTCCCCCACATGAAGACGTTTCAATCTCGACTCTTATATACTAGAACTTCCTTGTCATCTGTTTCCTGGTATGTCTAAGCACCACAGTCTATTGATGGAATGACTGCAGTATTCAATTTTGGTAAATAAAGTAATAAAATGGCTGATAAAAAAACTACAAAGCTCATGTCAGATAATCCTATAGAACTAAATAGATGATAACAGCCCGCTGCATCTACTCACAGGTTTATTCAGCCCCTACTAGCCCATATACAGTATTAGGGACAGATGTGTGTTGATGACACCCATTCAACAGCCTGATAATAGTCACATCAGTTGCGCTGCAGGCAAATATTTTCATTTGGCGTCCGGTGGCGTGGCCCTAAGCTGTTGTCACTGTAGTTAAGCTCCTTCAAAAGGGACATCAAAGCAGAGGTAACTGCCAGATCATTGAGATCCAATGAGCTCTATTGTCTCCCGTCGGAACAATTCACACTTACTTGAAAGACACAGAGGGACGGCACCCTCAAGTCTGCCCGAGGTGCATATTGCCTCACGCTGAAGTCATTAGGTGGCACCAGCTAAATGGGTGACTGATTGAGTCATTCTGTCATAACGTGGCTGTGCCGTGTTCACTTATGTGCCGATGCCTATTTGTGATTCAGAGTAGGAAATACCTGCTGGTGGAGTGATTACATTCACCACAGGCTATCAGGCGATGACATATGCTGTGTCATTCAGACCACGGCTCCTCTGGCTGCTTTTCCGTTCAGCAGCCACACGCCTGACTCAAAGAATGTTTGGGATTATTCAGTGGCGGCTACACCCTGCTTTTAAAAGTATCTTTAAAAGGAAAATACATACTGATACCTCCCACCAGGAGGCAGAGATGGTTAGAATTTCATGCACCAGTATCCACTATAATGAGAAGAACACTTTAATACATCCATTTATACAGCGCCACTATACAAACCACCAGACAGTGCAAGGCCTCAGTCTGCAGCATTAACTGGGATAGGTTCTGGCACTGATGCAAATATGAGCACCAATAAATGATCCATTGTGAGAGGCCTGAGAGTGGATGGGATGAATGGCAATGAGTGCTTCACTGATCCTTTTGAATCAGGTGAGTGCGGAGGTGAAGAGGTGCTAACCGCCTCACTACAGCTGCGGCTGGATGGCAGCAGGCGGACTGGAGCCGAGGGCGGACGATGACGAGAAGCCAGAGGTTGATCAAGTTAAAGGAGATAACGGATAATGAGATCGACCACAGACTGTAACACTGTTTTATATCTAAAATTAGCACTTGGATTAAAGTAGAAATGACTCTTGCATCATGGAGATAATCGAAAGATGAATGTAGTTAAAACCAGAAAACCCACATAACTCACATATTCTACTCTGAGTTGCCTTTTTTCAGTGGTGGAAGGTACATTTACTCAAGTGCTGTGTTTGGCTACATCTTTTGAAGTACTTACAATTCCTTTCCATGGCTTTATTATACTTTTACTCCACATTTTAGGAAGAAAATCATTCCTTTTTGCTTCCAGCATTGATTAGACAGTTGATGTTAATGATTTCTCTACATATCCTTACTTGAAGGATATGTAGAGGAGATGACCAGTTCCCAATTTAAAGCATTTTACAAGTGGATTCAAACATAAAGAAAGCCGTGTCTGTAGCCTCTTGTCATGTTTCAGATATCTATGAGTTGTCAGTGTGATTTCTTCTCTGAACTTTTCAAAGGATTGGAATTAGATACGTGTTTAAAGTCACAGGGGTAAAATACTCTGCATTTCACAATAATATGAAGTAATTCAAATATGAAACAGATAAAGTAACTGTTTACCCTGCCATGTTAATCATCTAATAGTTTCAGATTTATTTTGTGACCCTTTAGAGTAAGTCTGACCTCTATTTTGGTGACAGTGGAGGAAACAAACAGTACAAGTGCTCACCTGAGCATTTTCGTTTTTTCTTTCCTTTTTTTCCTCATCCTCCAATACAGCTAAAGATAGCAATTACTTCACAGGTCCAATTTTACATTAAATGATTGAAGTAAATTATTATATTATAAAGACTCAAAAACAGTTGGGTTTGTTTCAGATAAATGTTCGGTATTTAAATAGATCTTTTTCTTGATGACCAATGAAAGCTCTTTTACAGTTTTGTCATTCACATGCACACATCACTCACACACTGTTGGCACAAGTCAGGGGCAATTTTGGGGTCCAGTATCTTAACCAAGGACACTACGGCATCTCACATCATGAGATGTGATAATGAGTTTTAGTTTTTTCCTCCATTTCTCCTTCAAATGTCTCATATAATTAAATCCAAATGACTGTCGCAGGCACAGAGCACTTAAAAAGCATTGATTCAGTTCAAAATGCAAAAAAAGAGGCTCTTTAGGAGGTCTGAGCCCCAGGTTGAGAGCCACTGGACTACCTGATAAACATTATCTAAAATTATTAAAACAAGCCTGACCATGACCACACCCAACAATAAAATATGATTTATGCACTTCTATATCAACAATCTCAACATGATGTCTTAAATGTTGTACATCAGTCACAGAGAACATTATCCTGGAGAACAAGTTTTTACTTTTACTAGCCTTTTTTTTGTTAACATTTTAATCACTTTCATCTTGTATATGTAATAAAATATATTTTGTGTTCTAATGGTTATGAATTCTTCTCCCACCACGGCCTTTTGTTTACATATTCATTAAGAGTGAAATGGACAATTATGTAAATTAGCTGATGTCTCAATTTTAAACTGTGAAAACAAAATTAAATAAAATGAATAGACCATAAGTTATATGATGGTGAAGCACTGTGCAGTTGTGTGAACGTATAAGGACAACATATTAGCCATAAACAAAGAGGAGAACATTTTTAAATCTGATTAAAATGTCCTGAATTTATGGGATTAAAGCAGCAATACTGAGGCAATTTCTTGGGCACGTTGCCCATCAGAGTTGCCCAAAAAAAATGCCTAGTGTATCACCACCCTAAATCATTTATGTGCAGGTAAAGGTATCAATGTCAAAAAATGCAGAAATAGCCTCACAATAGCAGCAAGGCACCAAACAGTTTAAATAGTCAGAATGCACAAACCTGTATTTAATACCAAGACAACTTTATTCAAAAGCAGCGGCAAACAATAGAATCAGAGGCAAACAGACGTTTCCAATGAACAGTATTACAATGTCACCTCTCTCCACACTCACACAATGTCATCATGAGTGAATATGATGAAACCTGAGTGATGATATGAAATAAAAACGAATCACTGACACAAAAATCTCCTGTGGTCAGAATGTACACCCTGCAGCCTTCCTCTGTAAGACCATGGCAGGCTGGGTCCTGCAGTGTGTGTGTGTGTGTGTGAGCTTTGAGGCCAGCTGTCATGCAGAGAGGATGATGAAATGATGGCTGTCTGCCCGGTGGAATACCTCTGCAGCCCCATTTTCCCATGCCCTATGCCTCTTTAAAGTTACATCTCAAAGAGGTATATGCATAGGAAAAAGGAACAGCGAGTGCAAAGAGCCCGGCCGCCCTCGTCACCGCGCGCTGGAGCCTGCAGGCCAGGGGATGTAAAAAAAAAAAGCCAGTCAGTTACATGGCTGCGTGTACAACAGAATAATAACCCACATATTCTTGTGCTGTACGACAGGGTAAGACTGCTCGACCTTTACCGACAGAACACTCTGGTTGTTGAATACAAAAGTTAACCCGAAATTTGTATGATTTCCTTTGCAACACAACACAGGTCTAAACATTTTTCTAGTTTCAAACATTTACTTTTCAAATAAAATCAATCCGTTGATAAAAAGCACGAGTTGCGAGTATAGGTCTTACCCCACAAAGCTCCAGATGAGTCTCTCCTGGGAAAGCACCTCCTGTTGTCCATTTATTCCTCCGCAGGGACCTTGAAGATGTTTGAGAAAGACACAGTGGCTGTTGTCTCTGCTCACTCAGCACCTATCCTCCCTCCTCGCTTCCAGTCCATGGTGTCACACCTGTGGAGACAGGAAAAAAAAACTCCCTGCTCGCTACACTGCAGTTATACACATAGCTCAAAGTTATTATGCCCAAATAACTCAAAGTTATCAGCAGACGTGTTACAGTCACTATCTCACAAAATTATCTGGCACATGCCGCAGACATCGAGCAGAAGTGAAGGGAAACATTGAGGACGGCTTGTTCCTGCCGGTGGAACAGTTTCTTATCTGTTCTGTTTTTTTTCTCTTTTTGCACTCTCTCCCCCAGAAGAGGGGCCCCTGTGGCCCTCTCAAGGTCTCTACACAAGGACTCTCAGGGTGTGCTGATGTGAGACACTGACACACACACACACAGGCCATGTAGCGTGCAGCGGAGGGAGTGTTATGGCATGTCAAGGCCGGTGCAACCAGCCAAAGCGTTTCTCTGGATCTCTGAATGTGCACCATTAAGAGCAGCAGTGTATCACAGGAAAAGAGATACCATGTAATTTATTTGCATGTTGACTCGCCTCAGGTCTGCTCACTTCACTGTGGCAGGACTTATCTGTGAGCTAAAGATGTTTAAGATGAAGTAGAGTTGTATAGTATAACCATTATATCAGGGTGTTGAGCTTGGTTTTCATTTCAATATCACATCAATACAAAACTGAAGGAAACACTTTGCTATCATGTTGAACAAAAGTACGGCATTGAGTCCTGTTTCACATCTCGTTTGTCCGGGCATCTTTAAATCCACAGATAAGTTTCATATATTCAAGTATTCTTACAGAAAAGAGTTTGTCTGAACTGTATGTGAGGTAGAAGTGGAAATCCATTCATATTGTACAAATGATGATTTCACAGAAATGTTCTCCATGAAACAGAACACAAAATCAGGCATATTTTCATATAATTTGACCTCACTGAGTGTGTGTCATTTGGTGCAGCTTGATTGAAGGGGACCTTTGGGCCTTGGCGTGATCAGTATTCATACATTTCTTTAGTTAATATGTTAGAAACACAATCACAAATGATCTGGACGTGCCTTCTTGTTAGCATGACACAGACATGAAATCAATAGTGAGGTGTGACTGACTCAGTCATTCCTATCTCTGTTGTGCGTTCAGTAGGAAAATGCATAAACCTTAAATTATGATGAAACAATATGTTATTCAGTTGTCATGTCACTCCCCCCCTGCAGTCAGACATAAATATAAATCCTACATGCCACCACTCGGTGGCAGCAGTTTCAAGCCTTGACTGGCAGCACACTGAGGTTAAGCTGAATTAGTATAATAATCGATATTTGTTCTCATGTATTCACACAAAAACGTTTTCATTCTGCAGTAGTAAAAATGACTGCAGTGAAATACTCTGACTGTGTCCTACTGGTGAGACAAACACAAAACTATTGGATCAAGGTCTGATGAGCAGCAGTAGATTTGTGCTCTGACTGTGGAATATGTATTAATTATGTTTTTCTTTCTCATCAGTTATCAATATTTAATGTGGCTGGACATTAAATCCAACATGCAGCATGCTCTCTTCTCTTTTGGACACATATCTGACAAACAGGGGAACATGCTCCAGCGGCTCCGCTACATCAAAATGACGGACTCATTTCCTCCGTGTCTCACGAGGGCCTGCTTTTAATTGGGTACACTTTAACATGCAGCTTTTAAAACCCACTCCTGTTTCTTTTTTTTTTGCAGAGTGTTTCATCTGAGCAGGGGCAAAATTGCAGAGTTGAGCAGAAATGTCTCACTCCGCTGAGAGAGAAAAAAGTGAGAAGGCAACAAAAGCTGCTTGTTCATCTAAACACATCTGCCAGGGAGCTGGAGCCACTTCACTCAGCACAACATTTCATGGTTTAAGAATTTGACATTTTGACAGGATTGGGGGGTTGTGATATTTTCTGAATCACAACAAACACCTGTAGTTGTCTCTGGGCTTGAATCTGCAATTTGAGGGATCTGTTGTGTTCATTAGCTACAAACAGAGATTCAGTGGGATTGAAAAGTACCTGCTGTGCAGTTCTGCAGGAGACACTCCAAACATTGCAATCTAGAAGCTTAGCTCTTGTCTATATAACTCCAGTTATAGCTCTTTTCTTGTTATGCTTATTATTGGTTAGATTGCCATGGTTCCCAGAGGATAACGCCATCGTCCTCAAGCAATTTCTTGATTTTTTAGCTTCTCCTCTAACGTGCAATCTAGAGTTTTTGTGAAATGAACAGCTAATGCAATGACATTTTCTATACTCACACATGGTCCTCAGAGGATGAATCCTGCTGATGGAAGTTTTCAACTAGCCTCACTCTCAGCTCCAATTCTACATTTATATCTCAGATCCACCTCTCCTTCACTCTCCTTCAAGTCCATCATGCAGTATAATACACACAATGCATCTGTGGTACCTGCAACTGCACATACACGTAGGTACCTTATCTTGTTTTGGTTGGTGCTCTGATGCCATGGTTTGTAATGTTACTGTGTGAAATGATCATGTTTTTTCTGTCAACATGAGAAAAACAAAGTATTGCTTCAATGTAACCCACAGAACATGTATCTCCTCCTCGTGTACCAAACTGATCCAAGGTCATCTAGATACAAAGATATATCTGAGCACATGCAAGTACTCTCTATTCTATGCAAGCAGAAATGTCTTGCAGTATAGAACAATTTAAGTTATATGGGCATTACATTAAAATTCAGCCAAGGGTTCAAATTAAAAACATTAATATTGTTTTTCTGAGTGCGGGGCAGACCGGCAGCAGAGCTGAGCTGCTGTGGCTCCTTGATGTAGCAGGTCTCAGTACATGTGCTAACGTGTCAGTCAGGCTTAGGATAATTTCCCTGGACAAATAAACGATCCTGACGACTATACATTTCCACTGGATTACTGAGCTGTCAAATAAAATGATTTCCCTTCTCCTTTCTCACTTCACCATATTATCAGTCATGATTTCCTTTCTTTGACACTTGCTGCAGATCAGGTGAAAATGTTGATTGAATCTGTTTCACTGGTACTAAATGAGTGATAGAGCAAAATTAAGACTGGTCTGACCCTACAGACTGGTTTAAATGATTTTTGTAAAGCTAGTCATGTTTTCAGTTTGAACAGTATTTTGGTTTAAAGCCAATACCTGCAAATAATGATTGGACTTTTTCAAATCAAATCAAATTTGGCTTGTAGGCCTGAACAATATATTCAAGGAGCGAGATCCTCAGTTCTACAGTGAGGAAAAACAACCCCAAAACCTTTTTAACAAGGAAAAAAATTCTATAATTTTTATTTTACCAGAATTAAACAATTTCTATTGGCACCAATGCATTTGCCATTATTTGCAAATCATTTAAGTGCAAATTGGAAAAAGGAGAATTAAGGCTAAAAATCGAAAACAAACTTTCCACTGAAAACTGTTCATTCATCTACAGTTTGGTTTTCTTTATAATAAACATTACATTCTATCAGAGCTGCAAACACGACTGTTGACCCCAGTGTTTTACTTGCGTACGTGAATTTCTCTTGTTTTTGTTGGTGCACTGATGCCATGTGTCTAATGATAATGTTTTTTTCTGTCAACAGAAGAACAAAGTATTGTATTGTATACTACAATGTAACCCACATTTAACATGTAGCTCCTCCTTGTGTACCACCCTGATCCAAGGTCATCTAGATACAAAGATATAGCTGAGCACATGCAAGTACTCTCTATTCTTTCTGGTCTGAAAATGTATTTCTTTGTTGCACACGTCTGGGAGGCTGTGCCGCTGGATTCCTGTGTCTCCTGCTTCCTTTGCTTCACCCAGCAGTTAGTGAATTTTAACTTCCCCTCCCTCCATATCTGTTGCCGTGTTGTGTTTTGGTGCAGGATGTTGGAGATGCCGTTAAACAGATGGAGACGGGGGTGAACTCGTGGGGGCCCTCCATGTAGGGACCAATCTGCATCAGGCAGGGGGGCCGACAGAATAAGGCCATGGGGCGGAGAGACGAGCACCTCGAGCACCTCTGTGAGGAGTTAGGGCACCGTGCCGCCAACTGGCTCCCGATAGGAGGCTCAGGAGTTCAAGCATCCAGGGGGCTAACAGTCCTCCTCACCTCTGAGTGACTACAGCTCCGTTCATCTGTTCTGTGTGTGTGTGTGTGTGTGTGTCTGAGAGAGGAGGATGATCGAGCATGATGAAGATTTGCTCTGAACCCCAGAATCAGCCTCTTCTGCTACAAAACTGAGCAGCTGCAAAGCAATAAAAAACATTATTGCCTCATGACTTTTGTGTAATGTGAATATTTTGAGTATAACCTGATTTAACATTAATTTCTCTGCTTGTATTTCGTTAATTGTCTCTCTTTGCTCTCCGCAATAAGCAGGGATCTATTAGTAGTTCACAGGCAGTTGTAATAGAAGCACAGGCAGTGTTTGACCTCAAGCTTTCTCCTCACCCTGATTCATCCTCGTATCATTCAAGGCTGCAGACCACACTGCCTGCAATCATCTCTTTTTCTCCGCTCCTTCTCGTTTTCTCCTGGTACTTGTCGTCTCTGACACAGAGTTACATGACAAAGGGAGAGAACAGGAGCAGCAGAAGTTAAGCTCCATGATTTGCAGGCAAGATATTACAGATGTGTTTAAATTCATAAAATATTTCATAGAGATCTTATAAGGGTTCATGTCTCCAGGATGCATGGGCACATTTGGGCTGAAATAAAAGAAATCTCGAATCTTTTCTCCGTATTTATGACTTACTCTTTATCTGTATCTTGAAAAACATTCATTTATGTCTTCATTTGCTAAAATTATATATATATATATAGTTTATTATATACATCTGGCATCCACACCACTCCAGACTTCTAGAGCTGCTAAAACGTCTTTGTCTTTGCTAATAGCTGCTGCAGTTAAATTCTGTTCTTTACTTTTCACCATTGCTGCTTCTTGTTTGTAGCCGCCCCCTTTCTGCAACTAAAACATTGTGATTTGTGAATATGGGCTATACAAATGAAATTTGATTGATGCATTTGTTTAATG